GATGTCGGTCCTGCGACGGCCGACAAGGGGGGGGCCCGCGACGAACGCGGAACGCGCAAGCAGACCTGGGGGCAATCCCGGGCGACGGGGCGGGCGCAGGAGAAGCGCCCGCGCTGCCCCTGCCCAGCGCGGCTGGCGCGCCGCCGCGCTGGGCTGCCGCGATAGCCGCGCGGACCACCTCGCGGGCGTCGCAAGATAATGCCGCGGCGCCCCTGAAGTCTGCCAGGGTGACGCCAACCAAATCGCTCACGGCGTCGGCGCCGTTATCGGCAAGCAGCTCGGCAGCGGCGAACACAGGAAGAGGGCGTGCCTCAGGGCAAACCGCGCGAAGCTGAGCGAGCAATCCAGCCAGCGCCATCGCGCGAACACCGATGACATTCTCCAGGTGCGCCGACAAACCAGAGATGCCCTCGCGCGCCCACAGGCGAAGCGCGACCGCGACGTGCGCGAGGGAGGACGCCAACCCCTGCCCGACCTGGCGGGCGCACCCTGACCGATGAGTGAAGGCCAGATCCATTGCACGCACGCCCAGCGCCCGAGCCGGTCATGGCCGGCGATGAGGAAGCCACGCGCTCGGATCGAACCAGGCATCGTCCAGCACCGGAGGAATCCACTCCGCCCCCAAGCGATACAGCAGGGAATATGACTCGCGCGACGGCAGGTCGGCGATGTTGTCCACCGACGCCACACGCTGAACGTGCAGATTGCAATTCGCATCCAGCGCCATGCGCCAGATTGAGTGGACCAGGCAATTGTGGTCAAACTGCTTCGCCGCACCGGACCGGACGGCCCACTCGCTGCCTGAATTATCCGAAAAGATGTTCACGCACCGGCCCGACAGGAGCGGCTCAAAGGTGGCCAGGCCCAGCGCGATGCTGAGCACCTCCAGACCGCCGATTTGATTGTCACGCCTTTCCCTGAAGAGCCGAAGCAGAGGCTCAGGCGGGGCGACATCGGTGAAGACAATGCGCCCGTCAATGAAAAGAACCGCGGCCACTCTAGCTGGATTCCCCCGCGCGTCGGAGAGCAATTGGACAGACCTGGTGTCTGGCGCCTGCCACTCCCGCGTCGTGGTGAAATTTCTGGCGAGCGCTTCGTGCCACCATTGCAGGCAGACTCGCAGGTGCGCCGGGATACTAGGATGGCGCGCCCTTGCGTGCTCAAACAACGGCGGGAGCAGCGCGCGCCCGAACCGCCCGAAGGTGTGGGAGGCAGCCCAACAGAAGCGGCCTGCCAACTTGGACGCGCGCCCGCGCTCGAGCGCGCCCTCTTGAAGAGCAGCAGCGATCTCGGCGCGCCACCGGGCGCGCTTCTCCGGCAGCGGCCAGCACACGAGGCCACGCTCGTCAATCGCCACAGACAAGCCCAGGACCCCGAGCGGATTGCCGAACAGCAGCTTACCGTCGGCCACAGCGCTCGGGCCCAGAATGATTCTTACCAGTTCGGCGAACTGTCGCATTGCGTCGCGCAGCCCTTTCTTACGTTCGGGGCAGAAGAAGTCGTCCACATATCTGAGGACGGGAACGAAAATGAGCCTGCGGCCCAGCGCTGACAGCATCGCGCCGATGCGCTCCCAGCTGTGAACGGAGGAAGTCGCTCCGAATGGGGCGGCGAAGTGCTGGGCCACGTAGACGCATGTGCCCACGAGGAACGCGACCCATGCGAAGGCGCGATGTTCCGGCAACAGCGGCAAGCGCCGGAACGCGGCGTCTATGTCCGCCTTCCAGAGCCCGGGCGCTTCGCCCACGCGCGTCACAAATGCCTTGCAAGTGCCAAACAGAGCGTCGATGGCTTCATGGCCGAGACGCTCCGTCGGCTGCGACGCCGCGTTGATACGAGAGCGCGACATATCATCTACGAGCCGCAGCTTCTCGGACCCGTCCTCTCTCGACTGCCGGACGCCGAACCGCGGCGACAAAACCGCACCGTCGAGCTCGACCGCGCTGAGCGGCGCGGGATGGCTCATTCGGCCGAGCTCCGCTTCGGCGATAGTTTTGGTGAGAATCACGGCGGAGTCGCTAGACTCCTTGAGCGTGCCGAGCAGCGCGGCGTTGCCTCGCTCCGCGCCCGCGGCCAAGTCCGGCAGGCTGAGCGGTACAGGGAAAGATTCCGGACGCCCGTTCCCCGTGCACGGGAGAGGGCCCACGAGAGGCGCGCCGCGCCGAAAGACTTCCACGCAGGCCGCGTCCTCGTAACCGATTTCGTCGAGCAGTTCGACGAGAAGAGGGCCGTTGATCGACCCTGCGATTGTGCGCACATGGGCATCGCAGCCCGCGAACCAGGCCGCCGTCGCTCCAGAGGCGCGTAGCTCGGCGTCCCTGGCCCGAATTCGCTCGAGAGTCGCTCGCCGCTCACGGCACACCTGCCGCTCCGAGCGCGCAGCAATCCAATCGATCGCCGCCAAAACATCGCCGGGCACCACCACGGCCTTTTCAAAGGCCTCTTTGTCCTCGAAGGAGTGAGAACGGGAGAGGACCTCTTCAAGAAAGGCGAGCTTAGGCGCTTCCTCAGCAGACGCAGGCGACGGCAGGTGACAGCAGCCGGCAGTGGCCAGCGCGCAACCGCGTGCATTGCAACTCGAGGCAGCATTCTGCCGGGCGCGCGAGCCCGCGAGCGTCGCGCGCCACAACGCGCAGCGCCTGATAATCCCATGTGGCAGCGATACTGGGCCCCATCGCATCCTGCGCTTTGCGAGCGCGAGCGCTCGAGCCTGCCGGGGGCGTTCGCGCGCCTCCTGGCCCAGCGGGCGGGCGGCCCTCGCGTCGCGATCGGACCGCGAGTGTTGACTGGCACCCAAGCCCTGGACGACGCGGCAACAACGCGGCGCCCTCCTGCCAGCGCGCGCGCGCGCGCCTGCGGGTCCCACGGGACGGTGGCTGAGGTTGGCGCCCATTCGTTGTTATTCAAATGCCAACGTGGCGCGCGATGCACGTCCTCATCGGCGCGCGTCCCGCACATCGCCGCGCGCCGCGGGCTGCGCGTGCCTCCGGCGGGCGTCAGGCGCGCGGCTTCTTCTGAGGAGAATACACCGTTCGCGAATCCCAGGAGCGCTTGTTGTAATCCCCGCGATAGGATCGGGACTGCCACCCGTCGGCTCTGGAATCGCGGTCGTTCTTCCAGGAAGTGACGGCGGCGCCCCCCGCGGCTCCCACGGCGCCCGCGGCGCTCGCGGCGCTCGCACTCTGCCCGCGCGCTGCCGCGGCGCTTTTCCCTGCACCCTTGCCGGCCGGCGCGGCAACCTGCGCGGCAGCGGTGGCGCAACGCGAACAAGGGATTCGGCGACGCGGCCTTAAGAGCCCGATCGTATTCCGCTTCCGCCGCGCGGAGCAGCCCGACGTCAAGCGACAGCGCCGCAACGTTCACCTGCGCGCCGACGCGCGCCCGAGAATAACGCGCCGAAGCATGGCGCGGAGCTGCGGCCTGGAAGCCTGCCGCGCCGGCGGCGGCACGCTCGGCCCACGTCCTCCGCACAAGGCGGTCGTAGACCAAGGCAACCTGGGCCTTCCGTCCCTGCAGGGGGGCATCCAGTGCAACCTGGGCAAGCGCGCCCACTTCGGCGACCAGCGGACGGGCGCCAATGTCGACTCGCCTGGAGAACAACGTGTTTGTGAGCCATGGCGCTCGTGTACGAAATCTGATCAGTGACCGCGGCCGCCACGCTCCACGCGTCGTAAGCTTGGTGCCATGGCGTCCACGCCAGAAGCGGCTGGCTCTCCGCCGCGGTTCCCCGTCCGAACGCTCTGGCCAACGCGGCCGCCTCTTTCGACTCGGGCTCGTCATCGTCGGGAGAGCCGCCCGCGCCGCGCGCGCAAAGCGGCTGGAACTTCGCGAGCTCAGTATAAATGAACGGGCGCGCGATTCCCCTGGATTTCGCGCGCTGCACCTCGGTGGCCAGCGCATCGGTCTTCGCTGACCTGAGCGAACGATGGAAACGCGCCAGCGCGCCGGGGCGAAGCCGCGCGGCAGCCTCGGCCACAGGGACTCCGGAAGGTCCCTCAAGCTGATCTGGGCCAGGCCAGCGCCGATGTCGACATGCTCTCCCTTCGGCGGGAGCCCAGGATTCTGCAGCAACCGAACCGAAACGACCCGCCGAAGCCGGCGCGGGCCCCGCGGCACCCGGCGAACTCGCCTTGGCTGCCGCCACCGTCGCGCGATCCAGAGCGCGCCGCAGGACGCCCTTCGTCAGCGCCGTCGCGCCATCGGCATCCTTCAAATCGCCGAATTGAAGATTGGCCAATTCTTCTGGCATCGTCAGCCCATTGGCTGCCAGGCAATCAATGGCGCCCTTGAACTGGATATCAGTCCACTTCGCGCCCACAACAGGGTCAGACTGCAAGAAGGCAAGCAACGCCATCGCAATCCCAGCGCCACGGGGCACGAGCGAGAACCACGCCAGCTGAAGCCCGCTCGCTTGCATGCCAGCGCGCCATGGTGACGAATGAGAGCGTGCCAACGACAGCTCGTGGTCACTATGGACCAGAAGAGAGGGCCCCATTGGGCACGTGAACGCAGCAGGCCGCTATGGGCCGCAACGAAGCCACTATGGGCCGCAAGGAAGCCACTATGGGCCGAGCGAAGCCCCCAGAGGGCGGAGGGCCGAAACCCGACACACGGCACGGTATTTATATCCCGCCCCAGTGCCAGGCGGAGGAAGCACGGCACGGCACTGCACCACACGACGCGAGCGGGAGGCGGAAGAGGGTCGACCAGCGCGCGGCCGACCAGCCGAGCGAGGGCGCCCCCGCGGCCAGCCGCGGGGTCGTTCACAGCGCGGGCGGATTTGTGCCAAGCAATAACTTCGTTATTCCGACCCAACAAAAAAAAATATGCCGATGACTGAAGTCGGCGGGCGCTCGAAGTAGATCGGGCTCTGGGAGCCCAGAAACGCCTGCTTTCCACGACCGGCGGGCACCTTCTCCTCCTCCGACTGTGGGGCTCCCCGAGGCTCTCGTCGTCCCTCGCGGCCAGCGCCCCTCGAGGGGGCCCGCCCTCGGAGCCGCCGAGAACGGCAGCCCCGCCAGCGGGACGAGCGCCGTGCCCTCCACGTCCCCGCTCCTCAGGGCGCGCTGCGCCGCCTCCCGCTCGGGTTGGGCGCGACGGCGACGGCGACGGCGACGACGACGACGGACGACGACGGACGGCGACGGCGACGGCGACGGCGACGGCGACGACGACGACGAGGACGACGAGGACGAGGTCGAGATCGACAAGGGCGATGTCGAGGTCGACGACGAGAACGAGGATGAGGTCAAGGTCGACGAGGTCGAGGTCGACGAGGTCGAGGACGAGGTCGAGGTCGATGACGAGGTCGAGGTCGACGACGAGGTCGAGGAGGACGAGAAGGTCGAGGATGACGAGGACGAGGTCGAGGACGAGGTCAAGGACGAGGTCAAGGACGAGGTCGAGGGCGAGGTCGACGACGAGAACGAGGATGCGGTCGAGGTCGAGGAAGACGAGAAGTTGAGGATGACGAGGTCGAGGTCGAGGTCGAGGACGAGGTCGAGGACGAGGTCGAGGGCGAGGTCGGAGGGGGAGGTCGAGGACGGAGAAGGTCAGGCGCGAGGGGGGACGTATGTTGAGCAGGGACCGACCGTCCCGGCATTCCTATAGTCCTACCACGATGTTCTTGGAACTCAAAAATGTTCTAATAACAAAAACAGTGTTCTTAGAACATAAGCCCGATGTGTTAAAACAAAACAGACTCCGCCAGTAATGTTCTAAGAACATTTCGTGGGAACCATAAAAGGTTCTTAGAACATTGTTTGGTAGGGCTACAGGCGAGCCGGGACGCTTCGCCACTGCTTGAGTATGAGTGAAGGGGGAGGGGGGAGTGCAGGATCAGTCGGCATCGAGTCGGCAAATCGGGTCGGATCGGAACCTTCGTCGGACCGGGCTGCATCGGCACGGAGTCGGCACCGGATCCGATCGAATCGGCGCCAGGATGCATCGGACCACACCAGATCGTCGGAATCGAACGGGAACGGGCTGGCCAAACCCGACATCGGATCGGACCCATCGGATCTGGGCCAGAAACCAGGCGACGCCACCCGACCCACGACCCAGCGATGTTAAAAGCTTAGGCACTTGCCCGACGATGACCACCCACGACCCACCCTCGACACTGCCCCACCTACGACCCACCTGCGACCCAGCGGGTCGTAGGTGGGGTGGTGTCACTTGGCTCTTGGTCGATCGGATCGGAGAGGACCCCAGAGGGGGGAGAGCCCATACCCCCTCGCGCAGTGAAAGGAACACGGCGGACAGACCCCCGGCCTGCGGACCTCTCAACACACACACACACACACACACACACGCGTACACACACAGACAGACACACACACACACACACACACACACACACACACACACACACGCCCGCACGCAACGGCAGGCGGGCTGCGGCATGAAAAAAGCACGGAGGGATTGGGGCTACGGCCAGACCTAAGACAGAAGAGCATCCTTCCAGAACATGAGACCCTCCGCCGGCCAAACTGAAGAACATTCGAGGGTGCCCTCCCCCAGGGTGCACAGGAACATCTAACAAACACGAAGAACATGAGGCTACCCTCCCCGAACCGACCTCGATCTCATACCTCGGTCCGATTGTATCTTCATCGGGCATTGATGGGGAGGGCGATAAATGGGGGGAGAGAGAGAGAGAGAAAAAAAAAAAAAAGCGTGCACCTGTCGTGCCCCTCTTGGGCCCCAGGGGGCCTCTTTAGGGCACAAAAGGTGCACCCTTCAACTCCCTGCCTGCTTACCGCACCCCCATTACTCGACGCCCGATTGAAGCCTCCGGGTGCCCTCGCCAGGCCCAGGGACCTTCAAGAGACGACTTGGGACGAAAAACCGGTCCCAGGGATGGGTCAAGGCCGCTGGGGGTCGTCGCTATGAAAAACAAGGCGTCGGCGGTCTTCGCGGGAAGGTGGGGTATCATCGCTGGGGTCTTTCTCGTTCTCTTCCTCGACCCTGTCCCACTTCGATCCTCCTCCTTCAGCTCCCCTCTCCTCTCCTCTCACCCCCACGACGCCAACGACGACGACGACGACGAAGACGACGACGACGAAGACGACGACGACGACGACGACGACGACGACGACGGCGACGACGACCACGACTACGACCACGACCACGACCACGTCGACGACGACGACGGACGACGGACGACGGACGACGGACGACAACCGACGACGACGGACGACGCACGACGGACGACGGACGACAACGACGACGACGACGACTACCACGACGACTACCACGACGGCCACGACGGCCACGACGAGTACGACGACCACGACGACGACGACGACGACGACGACGACAACGCCGACGAACTTGTAGTGGTGGCATCGCGTTGGTCAGGGTCAGATCGGTGATCCTCGACCACCACCCTCGACCCTCGACCCTCGACCAAAGACCCTCGACCCTGGACCCTCCATCCACGACCCTCGACTCTCGACACCCCATCCACGACCCTCGACTCTTGGGACCCTCGGCTGGGGGGCGGCGTTGGGGGGGGACCCTCCCAGGGGGGGAAGCGTCGAGCTGGAATCGTCGGTGCATCGCCGATGGATCCGCGATGGGCCCTCGATAGCAGATCCCGACGCTCCTGGGCGGGGTGGGCCGTCGGGCCCCTGCCGTCGATGGGGGGCGATGCCTCGGAGCCCCACTGCGTAGCATTGCCCCTGACCCACCAATGACCCCCGATGCTCCATCCTCGACCCTGGACCATCGATCCTCCACCCTCGACCCTGGACCCACTCGACCCCCGACCCTGGACCCTCGACCCTGGACCCACTCGACCCCCGACCCTGGACCCTCGACCCTGACCCCCCTGGACCCTCGACACTCCACCGTCAACCCTGGACCCGGGACCCTCGGCCCTGGACCCTCCCGACCTACCCGGGACCCTCTCGACCGTCCATCCTCCATCCTCCATCCTCGACCCTGGACCCGCTCGACCTACCCTCCATCCTCGACCCTCCATCCTCGACCCTCCATCCTCGACTGCCGACCAGCCTCCAGCACGCGCGAGCCTGGAGGTGGCCCCAGCTCGCTCAGCGGCGCCGGCTCCGCCAGGCTCAACGGCGCGGCGCCCCCGCCCCCCGCAGCATCGTCGGCCGGCCCGAAGGCGAGCTGGTAGTGCGTGGCGAGGCGGTGCGCGAAGCCGGTGGGCGGCGGCCGGCCGGCGGGAGCCTCCTGCCCCGCCTGCGGGGGAGGGAGGCTCAGAGGCAACGTTGGGGGTTCGAGGTTCGAGGCTCTCGACGCCACGGTGGGTTCTCGGCGGTTTTCCAGCCTCGGGGTGCGCTCCAACAGCTGCGCCTTGCCGACGGGCGCCTGGAGGCGCCCCGATCGTGAGGAGGGGAGGGGGGGGGAAAGGGGGGAAGGGAGGGAAGGGAGGGGCGAGGACCCAAACCCTCTCGAACCATAACAAAAGAACGGCGCGGAAGGTTTTCGGCCGTTCATTGGGGCCCTCGCAAAACCCCGGGACCGTCAAAAAACAACTCAGTGTGACAAGCCCGTCCCTGGGAAGGGGGCCAAACCTCTGAAGGTACAGGTTATGAAAAAAAATCGACGTCGGAGATCAGAGCAGCGCGCAGGGGAGGCCCAGGGGCAACATCAGGGGATTCGAGGTTCGAGGCTCCAGGTTTTCGACTTGCTCGTCAGTTCTCGGCGGTTTTCCGGCCTCGTGGTACGTTCCAACATCTGCGCCTCGCCGAAAGCGTACCAGGGGTACCTGGATCGTCCTGAATGCCCACTGGGAGACCGAATTGGGACCCGAAAACAGAGGGGGGGGAGGGGGAAAGGGGGAGGGAGGAGGGAGGACGGCGTAGGCTCAGCGCAAAGGGCAGGAAGGAGGGGAGGGGGGGAAGGGAAGGGAAGGGGAGTTAAGGGGAGGGAAGGGGAGAGGGGGGTTCAAGAGGGAAGAAGGGGATGATGGGGAGGAGGGGGGGAGGCAAGAAGGAGGGGAGGGTGAGGAGGGGGAAGGGGGGGCGAGGGAGGGGGGGGATGGGGCCACGAAACATGTGAGAGGTGTGCCGCAACGTGCGGTAGGCGCGGTGGTGCCATGCGGTCGCTGTCACTGGGGCCTTCGGTGGAACCCCCTGTGGGGCCACGAAGCTTGTGAGAGGTGTGCCGAAAGGGATGCGGTAGTGCCATGCGGGCGCTGTCACTGGAGCCTTCGGTGGAGCCTTCTGCGGGGGCACGAAACTTGTGGGGTGTACCAAAACGAGCGCGGTGGGGTCGTGCGGGCGCTGTCACTGCAGGCCTAAGTGGAGCTCCCTATGGGGCCACGAAGCGTGTGAGGGCTGTACCGAAACTGGCGCGGTGGCGCCATGCGGGCGATGACACTGGGGCCTCGGGTGGAGCCCCCTGTGAAGCCACGAAACGTGCGAAGGGTGTTCCGAAATGGGTGTGGTGGGGCCACGCGGGCGCTGCTATTGGATCCTGCAGTGGACTTTCCTATGGGGTGTGCCGAAACTGGCGCGCGGCACCCAGATTGTGCAGTGATGCTTTTTTGTTAGCGATACGTACTTGGCCATGCCCTCATCGGGCACCTGGCTACCAAATCCGGCATTTTCAAAAGCCATCGAACCCTACCTGGCAGTGTCCTTGGGCGCCCATGACGTCTCGCACGGGGCCTCAGGTAGGCCCCCTGCCCCACAGTTCGTACGTTCACCGGCCAGGTGCTCCTCCCAAAGGAGCGCAACCACCCCCAAGTGGCGCGCCTCCCCTCCCCATTTCTTACGGGTGCGTCCACCCTCCCATATGGATTTCCCCCCTCCCTGGCTGGAGCGCCTGCCCCCCCCAGATGGGCGCCTCCACTGCGTTTGTGCGTTGCGACTGGAGCGCCCACCCCCGACCAGATGGATGCTTCCACGGATGAATGTGCACCGATCAGGCGCGACATTCCAAGACGAAATGGGTGGTCACTGGCGTCAACGCTGTGCTCCTTGCTGGCGCAACTCCCCCTGCTGGCCGGGTGAATCTTGCGCGGGCCCGCTGCGCCGCCCGGCTCCTCCCGGCGCCGCCTCACATCAGCCGCGCGCCCCGTCAATGCCGCCGCGCGGACCCTGCTGTCGCGTGCTTGGGGGCGCCTCCTCGGCTCCGCCGGGTCTCCTGCCTCACTGCCCCTGCTGGACGCCTGCGTCTGGCTGGGTCCGAAGCCAGGCGGCCACGTGGCATCCCGCCTGTTGCTTGCACCAGACGGGTAAGCCGCCTTCCCCGCCCTTGCCCCGCTGTTCCTGCAGCTGGGCGCCCCCGCCGCCAGCTGTGGCTGGGAATATCCGCCACACGCGACTGTGATGCGTGCACTGGTTGGGTACGGTTTTCCCGTCCCGTATCTCGACGCCCTGCCGCCGCCGGGGAGCTCCCCGCGGCGGCTGACGGTTCCTCGCTGCCCGCGCCAAACTCGCAGGTGGTCGTTTGTTCAACAGCCTCTGGCGCTCGGCAGCCCTGTTTGCCGCCCTCAGCGGCGTCCCAGCCAGCAGTTTTACCGCGTGGCCCCCAGCAGCTCAGCATGGCAGCCTAGCAGCGCGTTGTTGCTGCGAACTTTTCGCTGGTCAGCCCCCGTGTTTGCTGGCCTTCGCATCCCGCCGCCACCATTCCACGGCAGTGCCCGGCACTCACGGACCTTCGACGAACATTTGGATGCTGCCCACCTCATTGGGCGTGCTCGCCGCTCCCCTCCTGTACGGGTTCTATATGCTCTACGTTATCAGCGCCTGCATATTTTGCCTCAGCCCCTGCGTATGGGCGCGATGCCGCTCCACGTTCACTGCCAAGACGCCTCAACAACGGCCGGCCGCCCCAGCCAATCGTGCCGACGTTTTTCGCACGGTGGGCGTTTTCCTTCCCACCCGCCCTCCGCGGCCGCCTTCCGCCTTCCTCTGCCCCTCGTGCCGCCAGGCAAATCGCATCATACGAATTGTCCGGGATACTGTATGCCGTGCCCCAGACTAACTATTAGAGCGCGGATGCGCATTGCCTCTGCCGCGCAGCGACGAAGGAAACAACAACGACGACGACAACAACAACAACCACAACAACAGCAGCAACAACAAGAACAGTAAGTTTAAGACCGTTCACCTTTATATGCTCGAGTGTCCAATAATGCGTATTTCCCAAACCCTCGATACCCGCCCTCTTCGTCTTCGATCGAACCCTTTTGGGGGGGATACCTTTCTTCCCTGCAGGCCGGGCCCCTGCAAGCGGCGGGGCGGCCGCGGACCGTCGGCCTGGCCAGCGGCAGCGCTGATCGGCGGGGCGGCCGCGGACCGTCGACAAGACCACAAGACCCCAAGAGGGACGGACACGGGACCGACCACGACGACGACGACGACGACGACGACGACGACGACGACGACGACGACGACGACGACGACGACGACGTCGAAGACGACGGCGACGACGACGACGACGACGGCGACGACGAGCGAAAGCGAGAGCGAGAGAGAACGACAGCAGGGCCACGAAGGGCACGAAGTAGGCCACGAAGGGCGACAGCGGGGACACGAAGGGAACGCGTATGGGGCCACGAAAGCGCGAACGAGCGGGGGCCACGAAGTGCAGATAATGCGGGGCCACAGAAGGCAACGATAGGGCCACTAAAGGTAGCAACTGGGCCACGTAGGACACTGAGGGGGACACAATGGCGACAGCGGGGCCACGAAGGGCATGCACATGGGGCCACAACGGGCGCGACTCCTGGGTGCCTGGGTGTCGGAAGCGCGGCGTTTGGGCAAATTGCATGAAATTCCAACGCGAGGCCATCCTTCAGTAAGTTGCAAGCAAGTCTCCAGCGAGAGCGCGACTCCAGAGCGCCGGGAGAACGATTCCTGAATAAATTGTAAGGAAGTCCCAAGCGAGAGCGCGATTCCTGAATAAAGTGCGAGGAAGTCTCGGGCGGGAGCGGGGGTCCTGGCTAAATTGTAAGGAAGTCTCAGGCGGGAGCCGTTGTTGTTGTAACCCGGGGGCCAGGGGCCCAGTTTGAGCATGAAGACTTTCCATGTCAAAAAACAGGGTGCGAGCGTCGAGGGGCACATTTTGATTGAGAAAAAAACAATATGCACCAGTGGGGGGATCAACACTAGTTATTTTTCATAATGAGGACTCAACAACAACAACAACAACAACAACAACAACAACAACAACAACAACAACAACAACAACAACAACAACAACAACAACAACAACAACCATTTTAAGGCTGTACGCTCTCACTTGCCCGCGAGTCATTCAACACGTATACCCTACACCCTCGATACCCGCCCTCTTCGTCTTCGATCACACCCCTTTCGGGGGGATTATTTCTCTTTGCTGGGGCCGGCGGGCTTAGACGTACGGGCAAACCGGAACGGGCGGACAATCCTTCGGGGGCGTACATCTCTCTGCCCGCCATTGGAATTGGCGCGGGTCCTGCAAGAGGAGGAGGGGAAGAACGAGGGAGAGTGGGAGGAAGGGGAGGGGGAAGGACGAAGGAAGAGGGAATATACCACGTTGTGAAGGCGTCCTTGGCGCGCGCGTGGTTCCTGAGCGCCGAAACGCAATTCCAGAATAATTTGTGAGGACGTCGCACGCGAGAGCGCAGTCCTGAGTACATTGTGAGGAAATCTCAAGCGGAAGCGGGGGCCCTGACTAAGTTGCGAGGAAGTCTCAAGCGGGAGCGCCGTTCCTGAGCAAATTGCACGGAAGTCTCAGGCGGGAGCGGGGGTCCTCACTAAATTGCGAGGAAGTCTCAGGCGGGAGCGCCGTTCCTGAGTCAATTGCGCGGAAATGTCAGGCAGGAGCGGGGGTCCTGAGTAAAATTCGAAGAAGTCTCAAGCGGGAGCGCCGTTCCCACGTAAATTGCACGGAAGTCTCAGGCGGGAGCGGGGGTCTTGATTACATTGCGAGGAAGTCTCAGACGGGAGCGCCTTTCCTGAGTAAATTGCGCGGAAGTCTCAGGCGGGAGCGGGGGTCCTGAGTAAAAATCGAGGAAGTCTCAGGCGGGAGCCGTTGTTGTTGTAGCCCGGGGGGCAGGGGCACAGTTTGAGCAGGAAGACTTTCCTTGAGAAAAAACAAGGTGCGAGCCCCGGGGGTGGCACTTCAATCGAAAAAAACAATGTGCACCGGTGGGGGGGATCAACAATAATTATTCTTCAAGAATGAGAGTTCAACAACAACAACAACAACAACAACAACAACAACAACAACAACAACAACAACAACAACTACTACTACCATGGCACCCTCATGCGCGATATTTCCACACGAAGCATGCGACCATCATGACAACCATCCACGTCATGAGGGATTATTGTGTTCTACAACGGGGTCCGTTATTCCCATTCCCAGATCTCCCACCCAATGAGGTCTTGCAAACACCTCCTCCGAAGAATTTGAACATACCCCGCCTCGAAAACACATGCCCGCGCCTTGCTGCGCCGATGCGAGACCGCCAGTGGAGCCCCAGCGAAGGGTAAAGTACAAGGAAGTATTGAACGACAGATTTGCCTTGGTGGGGATGGGGGCTGTCTGCGGTGAGGCAAGGACCTGGCCCTGAATAGAAAGGGAGGAAGTCTCGAGCAGGACTGCTGTTGTTGCTGGGAGCGGCGCAACTGCTGAACAGAGTAGGGCGCTAGTCCAGCGTAGAACAAAACGAGGTCTCGAGCGGGAACGCTGGTTTTGTTGGGACGGCGGCTTTCGGCGGCGAGGAGGAACACCGCCTTGAGTAAGAAAGGAAGAAACATCGAGCGGGAGCCGTGGTTTTGTCGGGACGGGGGCTGTCGGCGGCGAGGAACGGCACCGTCCCGAAGAAAAAGAAGGGCAATCTCGAGCGGGAGCGTCGCTCTTGCTGGGAGCGGCGCCAATTCAAAAAAGAACAGGGCGCCAGTCCAGCGCAAAACGGAAGGAAGTCTCGGGCGGGAGCGCTGGTTTTGTCGTGGCGGCGGCTTTCGGCGGCGAGGAGGAACACCGCCTTGAGTAAGAAGGGAGGAAGCATCGTGCGGGAGCCGTGGTTTTATTGGGACGGGGGTTGTCGGCGGCGAGCAACAGCACCGTGATCAGGAAAAAGAGAGGAAGCCTCGAGCGGTGGTTTTGTCGGGGCGGCGGTTTTCGGCGGCGAGGACGAGCACCGCCGTAAGTAAAAAAGGGAGGAAGCCTCGAGCGGGAGCGTTGTTTTTGCTGGGGGCGGCGCCGATGAGAGAAAGACTAGCGCGCCAGTCCAAGGTAAAACGGGAGGAAGTCTCGAGCGGGAGCGCTGCTTTTGTTAGGAGGGCGGCTGTCGGCGGCGAGAAAGAACACAAACCCTGAACAAAAAAGGAGGAAGTCTCGAGCGGGAAAGTGTAATTAGCCGGCGCCTCGGCGAGAGCGCCAGGGCGCATGTAAGGTGTCCGACAATAACAATTGTTGAGTAATTCGCATTCAACAACAACAACAACAACAACAACAACAACAACAACAACAACCACCACCACCACCACCACCACCACCACCACCACCACCACCACCACCACCACCACAACCACAACCACGACAACAACCACAACAACCACAACAACAACAACAACAACAACCACAACAACAACAATTACTAGCACGTGGGGACACTCCGTTCTCACCAGTGCCAGGGTTTTCATACGACGCCCGCCAAATACCCCCACTTTGTGGGGGGGCCGGTTCAAGCTCTACCACATTTCTTAAACGACTCTTCGCCACCACCCACACCCAGCTTCCCGCCCTATGACGTTCGGACACTTCACTTCGTGGCCTGCGGACGACCGTGGCTACTACACTGGCGCATGGGACTGCCATGCGCCGTGGGAGAATTTTTGAAAATTCGTACAGATGTTTTTCGAGGACCTACGGTGCGATTCGTATGATTTTATGTTGCGCGGTGCTAAAATTCCTAAGAAACCCAATGGTTTTTGAAGATTTCGGCGTGCGCGCGCGAAGAAAAAACGAATGTGTCCCGCATGGTATTATTTGACAGGGATGATGGCCCTGGCAGGTGCGCAACCGTTGTTGCAGAAGTTCGAAAAAGTTGCTCGCAAAAGCCCGTTTGACAGAAATGATTAAAAAGTGTTGGGTTTCCTACAAATCCGCAAGAGCGCGCGGGATGAAATTTTGACAATTTTTTTTGAAAAACCATTGGTTTTTTTGATGTTTTTATGTTAAAATCGCTACGAAAACTAAGGTTTTGGAAGGATTTCGTCTTGCGCGCGCGAATGTCCACTTTACCTTATTTTTTGCAAGGGATTCTTGAAGTTTGGTTATGTTAGAACAAGAAATGTCCACTTTAGCTTATTTTTTGCAAGGGAAAACCGATCGTAACAACACAACCGGATCCGGACTCCCCCGTTTTGCCTGAGAC